TGTATTCTAGCAACATTGTAATAAGCTGTGTATTCTAGCAACATTGTAATAAGCTGTGTATTCTAGCAACATTGTAATATGCTATGTATTCTAGCAACACTGTAATAAGCTGTGTATTCTAGCAACACTGTAATAGGCTCTGTATTCTAGCAACATTGTAATATGCTATGTATTCTAGCTAGACCATAATACTGTGTAACTGATGGTTATGGCTGAATAGAAAATATATTTTTTTAAAATGCTTCTCTGTGACATTAAAGTTTCAGTCACATATATACTTCTTTTTCCATATGTTTATGGTACTAACAGTCTCTTCCAGAGGTACTGGTCCACTGTAATGTTTTTGTTGTACTTACAGTCTCTTCCAGAGATACTGTTTCACTGTAGTGTTTATGTTGTACTAACAGTCTCTTCCAGAGATACTGTTTCACTGGAATGTTTTTGTTGTACTAACAGACTCTTCCAGAGGTGTAATACCTCTGTTTTTTTGTTAATAGGTTTTCAAAATATTTTGGGCCTATAATGTAGTCTTATGTAAGCTTTGTGTTGATCAAGTTGGTTGGATTTATTTCATTGAACAGGTACTGTGATATTTTATCACTACTTTTGTGGCTGTTCCCATGTTATTGTAATCATTACTTGTATAACCCTCTCATTCTTCTTGTTATTTTTGTGGTTGTATTTCTATCATAATTAGTTTTAATAACATACTAGTAGAATGTGTCAAAACTTGAAGATATACAGAGTTGTGGTGTTTCAAGTCGTGGTCTGAAACTAAACATATTGAAAAGGTTTTCAGTATTTTTAAACAACTGAATGATCATACCGTGGATACAGCTGAGAAATTATTGGCTCAGCTAAGTGCAACCCAAGTTAGATTTCTCTGTCATTTCAAACATTATTGTTTTCTAATGTAAAAACATGGATTATGTGAAAGAGGTGTTGTAGTTTCTGCAACATTTGTTCTATCATTTTTCACGAGCAGGCAGGACTAGTTTACTGTGAGGAAGAATGGCAGCGTGAATGGCAGAGTTTGTTGGAAATAGCTTCATCTGAGCCTCGATCTAGTTCCCAAGGAAAGTCGACTACTAGTAGTTCTCATCAGAGAAGGTAAGTTAGTTGAAAACACAGTTTTAAGTGACAGAGTTTGTTGGAAATAGCTTCATCTGAGCCTCGATCTAGTTCCCAAGGAAAGTCGACTACTAGTAGTTCTCATCAGAGAAGGTAAGTTAGTTGAAAACACAGTTTTAAGTGACAGAGTTTGTTGGAAATAGCTTCATCTGAGCCTCGATCTAGTTCCCAAGGAAAGTCGACTACTAGTAGTTCTCATCAGAGAAGATAAGTTAGTTGAAAACTTTCCTTCATCAGGTGTAAATAACAAAAGTGACAAAGATAGGGTGACTGTTTTCAAAAATCTAATTACGACCCAACTCGTGAGTTTACAAAAGTCATTAAAACAGCTCCTTGAGACCAACCAAACTGGTAAAATACGTTTCTTAACATCCAAACAAACTTGCCCAGCAAGATTTTGTCTACTCCACAAAACAGTACTGGTTGTCCTATTTATATTGTTTGATTTTTAATAAATACAGTGAAAATTGTGTAGGAATTTATAGTCATTGTTTATTAACATAAAGGTGTTGAAGTGGCTTTACAGTACTCTTAAATCATCACCCTCTGTACTTCAGCACCTCGGGTTCCATACCTGAAGACGATACCTTCCCTAATGTTTACGAAAGCCTGGAGGAGATTCACGTCCTAGCCTTAGCTCACATCCTTCGCCGTACTGTCATTATTATTGCTGACACAACACTTAAAGATGTTACTGGAGAACCACTGGCTCCAATCCCTTTTGGAGGAATCTACCTACCTCTGGAATGTCCTCCTTCGGAGTGTCACCGATCGCCGCTATGTCTCACTTTTGATGCTGCTCATTTTTCAGCATTGGTAGCAATGGAAAAAGAAAACTATGCAGACAAAACTACACACCCTCCAGGTATAGTGATAATATTGTTACTTAGTAATTGTTTTCATGGACTTAGTGAATATTTTGATGGGTTTTTAATAATGGCAATTGAGTTGGGACATATGTTAATGTAGATATAATGTTACTTTACTTAAGTCTGTAATTTAATTGTGTTAAACTCAGCTGACAGCTACATTCAGGAGTCTGGATTTATGTTTTAATTTCTTAAGTTTAACCAAATAACATCTTAAGTTGAAAGTATACTTTTACATTTTAGCAGACAAAACTGACAGCTACATTCAGGATAATACTTACTTTAACAAATCTTTGATATAATTAATCTTTATTCTATTGTATTTTTCAAGTACACTACAAACCCTTTATTGAGTGAATTATTGGTTTGATCTTTATAAAGGGTTTTGGATAAGAAATAGTTCTGTAAAATGTGGAGTTTGGAGCAGTACTATTCACTTGAATTGCATTGTTTCAGCTGCTATTCCAGTGATCGATCCTGACCACAGACTTCTTCCAGTTCAGTTTGTTGTGGATCCTGGAGTTGAAGTTCGATGGGGAAATGATGAAAATGATTCCTGTATAATGGCTAAGCTGGCCTTAACAGACATGGACAGACTAGAGTTACTGAAGGAATATCTTGATATCACTGAGATTCCTATCCCATCTGTCGACAAATACGAAACTATCCAGGTGTTTGAAGGTCGAGCGTCATTACCAGTTGAACGTGGTACTCTGAGTGGAGAAGACTACCGTGTTGAAACTCTTGGTAGCATGCTATACTATCACAAAAACAAAGCGGCTAAACAGCTTCAGACTGTGGCCAAACAGTTTGGTAGTATAGGAAAGAGTATGGGCAAGAAACTGAAAAAGAACTTTGGGAACTTTTCCCGCAGACGTAGCTCTTTTAAAGGAGAAGTTGGATCATTCAGTAAAAGACCTATTTCCACTAAGAACAACATTTTCGACACCCAGCCTGCCGGTGGAAGTGTTATCGGTAGGAGTGGTGTCATCATTGCAGCAGTCCTTCATATAGATAAACGACACGAGTATCAAGAAGAAATGATTCGTAACTATCTTAACTCTGCAAGAGCTCGGTTTCTACACGAAAAGGAACAGAAACAAGGCTGCAGTGAGCAGAAGGTTGAAACTACAATACATCCCAACTACTGTATTAATGATGGTTGTATGTCCTACAGCTCGGTAGCAACGAGTTATCTCTGCCCCTCATGCCACACCCATCAGAAACTTCACGAAACAGATCTCCCTTGCATGGAATTCAGAGATAAGTTCCTGACAACTTCAGGGAATTCTTCTTTTTATGCTGAGATTGACAAATCCACAATTTCTTCTCTCGAGAAAGTGCCCTTAGGAGTACAGTATCCAACGGCTTTACAACAAGGACTCCATCCAGTAAGTTCTATCTTCAACGGGCCTGCAGAAGAGGAGTCACTTCTTTCTGATAGACACGTAGGAGGGAAACAGAAAAGTCTCGCAGAACCATTGTTAACAGTTCCTGGAACCAAGTATGCAACAATTAGTATGGGGTGTGTATCAACCGTGAAATCCCGCCAGTACTTCTGAAAACCCTTGTTCCTCCAAACTCCACACATATATACAGTCAAGAGGAATGGGTAAGCTCTCCTGTTAACCCATTGAAAACATTCTTTAAAAGATATTTTAAGTAGCTAAGTCTATTTATGGTTCTTATTTATTGTTTTCTTATGTCTTCCAGGTAAACAGTGTTTGTATAAATTTGCAATTTTATGTTGTACAAAAACAGGAGCTATAGTATAATTTCATCAACATCACAAGTACTGTGGATTCCTTTTTTCTTTTTAAGATGTCATCTGTTTTTATAGAAAATATCGTGCTGTAATGATTTTTTACTTTTTTTTACATGAAAACTGATCATTTTATTCCTGCTGGTGATTTTTATGTTGAGACGTTCCTGTATTGTACTTTTTATACATATAAAGTCATGTTTTTGTACACATTTCTTAGCTACCTATTGTATTTTAAATGAACCTAGAAGACATTTAGATGGTCTTGTAGCCCTTTGGTCTATATATAGAAATGCTAGTGTTTCTTCTGCACCATTGACGTACATACTTAGCTTATGATAGAATAGAAACGAAAACAAATGTTATTATTTTCTAAATATTTTCTTTAGTGTTTGGGCTGTAATATTTTTGTATGTGGTGGTTTCAGAGAAAAATGTCCACCCAACAAACTAAGTCTGAAGATGTCCCCTATTCATAAAGTTACTTAGCTATTATGTTGTATAATACACTTCCTTTTTATTGCACTGTATTTTGTAATTATAATGAGAATAATGTTATTTTTGAGAGTTGTGTGACAGGTTTCTGTAATTAGTGGTTCTTATATATATATATATATATATATATATATGTGTGTGTGT